AAAGGAAGAGAATCTGGCATCCTAGAAACCAAGTGAAGAAAGTTATCAAGGAGAAGGGGGTGATTGACGTCTCTAGGGCTGCTGAGAGAGCAAACATAGTGAGCGCTGACCGTCGCATCTAGAGCGTGGAGGCCTTCGATGACCTTTGCAAGCTGAGCTTGGGTGGGGAAGTGAGGGTGAAAAACCAGTTGAAATCAGCATGAGGAAGGAATGGAATTAGAAACAAAATATTTAGATCCCATTCTTTGGAAGCGCTTTGCTGCTTAGGGGAGCAAAGAAGTGGAGCAGTCACTAGTGAGGAAACTAGGGTCGAGAGAAGATTTTAAAATAGGAGAAATAGCAGCAGATATGATGATAAGTAGAGCACGAAAAATTGACAAAGTGGGAGATGGGTGAACTGCTGGTTCAATGCCCTTGGAAGGGAATAGAGCTGGTGGGAGAATGTATTCTGTCCAGGAGCAGACACAGTTCATGTGCAGTAGCTGGTGGATCTGTGGGTGCAATGCCAACGGGTGGGCAGACGCGGTGCCAGCAATGTATGGAAGTCCTCTCTTCTGACTTCTCCTCTTTTCTCAGTGAATTAGAAAGCAAAGTCTTAAGCTGAGAGTGGGAAGGGGGAGAAGGAGTTATTGGAGGTTTGGAGAGCGAGGAAATGGTGTGAAATTATGTTGAGAACAGTGGAGAAAGTATGAATAGGGATGCACAGTCCCTGTTCTGATTGCCCAGTAGTGTCAAGGGCCCACTGGAAGTTTGGGGTTTGGCATCATGAATTTCAAGTACAACCAGTTGACTAGCTTGTGTATTTTTCTCCAGCCACTTCAGCTGCATCGGTGAGGGCATGCAGTAGGCACAGCTGCATTTAGCCCAGTGTGTGGTCTTGCCAAGGGAGTAAGACAAGTCAAGACAGGGGCAGGGAAGTCCAAGGTCTATGCAAGTCAGTATTTAGAAATCTCCAAATACGCATTGGCTTGCAAGCCCTCTGTATTAGTTTTCTGGGGCTGCCATAACAGAATACCACAGACTGGATGGCTTAAACAACAGGTATTTGTTTTCTCACAGTTCTAGAGTTCAAGATCGAGCTGTTGGTTTGGTTTCCTCTGAGGTTTATCTCCTTGGCCTCCAGATGGCCACCTTCTCACTGTGTCCTCATATGGTCTTTTCTCTGCATACACACGTCTCAGCGTGTTCAAATTTCCACTTCTTATAAGAATACCAGTCAGATTTGATTAGGTCGAGTCTAACGGCCTCATTTTAACTTAATCACTTCTTTAAAAGTCCTGTCTCTAAATACAGTCACACACGGAGGTATTGGGGGTTAGGGCTTCAACATATGAATTTTGAGTGTATATGGTTTAGCCCATAACACCCTCCCTCTGTGCTATTCACCCCAGGTAATCATGTCAACAGGCCACTTTATTTGTATACGTTTGCTGTAATTTTCTGCCCCTGGAATGCAAAAGGTATACAGACTCTCCCTTCAGGGCCCTTCAGGCAGCACGTGTTGTTTTTCTACTCCTTACTCTCCAATGCTTGCAAACATTTTTGATCCACAGTAAAAAACATACGCTGTCTTTGACCCAGTACACACATACATAAATACGTAACTGAAAACAGTTTCCACAAAGCAGTGCAATGCACTTTGATGGTTTAGAAATTTTCGGCTCTATTCTGTTTTTTAAAAATCTCTGCAGAGATCTCTGTAAGGCATCTCAAACGAATAATAATTACATAGTTACGTGCAAATAATAGTGTAGTAACGTAAGCGCTGAGGAATGACTTAAATAAAATTGGAGTCTACATGTAAGAGAGAGAAAATCCTCATTCATTAGAATAGGAAAGCAATAAATTTCTCAAAAGTTGAACAGAGACATAGAGTATATGCATATTATTTAAAAACATGGAAGCAACGCATAGAAGAAACAGTTAGAAATATTGAGAGTGGCTGCTGCTAGGGAGAGGGATATGGCGGGATGTGGGGGTTGGGGAGGTGGTGACAGAACTTTTTTTGTTTTTGTTAGCTTTTGAGCACTATTTGACTTTTTAACCATGTATATACATTGCTTGACAAAAATAAAAAATAATTTTAAAAAACCGCACATAGTGTATGTGGCCACCTAGTCTGCGGACTCTTAGGGACTGGCCTGGCTGAGTTTCTTGCGGGATGCCCACACCACCACCCCAAAGGTTTATAGTTGCTTTTTACTCAGAATTCCAAACTGTGCATTTGACACTATTTGTATTTTTGACTAGCCCTAACCAACCCTTTTTCAGTCCACAAAGGCACCTCTTTCTTTGAAAAGAGAGGCGAGATAACCAGGGGTTAAGAACATGGACCTTGGAGCCAGACTCTGGGTTCAGATCCCAGCTTTGCCTCTTTACCAGCTGTACAACTTCAGGCAAGTCTCTGAACTTCTTTGCCTCCCAACTTCATTATCTGTAATGTAGCCATAATAACAGTATTTACTTCTGGGACTGTTACGAAAATTAAATGAGTTTTCATTTTTTTAAAGAACAGTACCTAGCAAGTTAAATACATAAAATTTCACAAGAAGGTGGTACTTATCCTTTTTGAATCTGTAGATTGAGAAAATACTTTACACTCAAAGTTACCATGAATTCAGTTATTATAATAACTATAAAATATATATAAAATATTCCAATTTAATTTTAACATATATTATAAAATAGTTCATATTTTGTTTATCACGCCTGGATCTGCACAGTTAGCAAAAGAGTATATCTGCGGATAATGCTCAGTCCATAGACAATGTTCGATGTGCATATGGATTTGCAATAAATTTGAGGAGTTCTGGAGTTCGCAGCACACATATAGTGCCCACACATTGACCCTCAACGTCTGTAAACTAGGACCGATAATTGGTCGTCTTAAATTGATTAGAATCCTGCCAGAATATTTGTGTGGAAGCTACACTAATATGATCTCCCCCCTCCCCCCACCAGAATCACATCCCAAGATGAACCTGTGAGAGCTGAGGGAAAAAAACCCACACAAAGTGTAAGAGTTTTTTCCCTTGGAAACTTAATATAAGAGATTATTGACTATTGCTCCTGGGAGGCATGCTTAGAATGCAATTGTAGTTAAGAAAACTTACATCTAATTTATTCCGTTGCCTGAGAATTGACTGTATTAATAGAAAGGGTTGGTCAGGAGCAGAAGTGGGGGATGGTTAGAAAATAAAAGGTGTCTGTGTGTCTTTGCACTCTCTAGGGGAGAAGGTACCCTGATCTGTGAACACAAATATTCCAATCTCTATAACACAAATATCACTACATTATGGAGATACAAATCCTCATGATTGCATTAATTAATTTTTTATTATCTTCGTTTGTTCTGATCCAGGTTTACCAAACAACATTCTGGTGATAATTTGGCTTCTTGTGTAGGTTTGTCTATGAGTAAAATTGTGCTTGGCACTATTATTTTTCACTGTAAGTGAATAAATCAGCATTCTGGATTATGCAGCAGTTGCTGTGAATGAATTTATTCAGCATGCATTCCCGACGGAATCCTCAACACTAGGTGCCCAGCAGAAGGACGGACCTGAGGCACAGGACGCTGGAATGAGGGGACCACAAGTACTTCTGCCCCACTCCTAGCTGTTGTCTGTAGGTGACATCTCTTCGACTCATCTTTTGTAGCCCAACTTGGCCCAACATAGAATCCGCCATTCCCAATACTGCTGTAACTTTGGGTTTTCCTAGTAAGGAAAGTCCCCTACTATATTGTTCTCCCCAGGAAAAGTAGGCTAAGGTGCATTTTTGGCTTTGACACTGAGTTCTGATTTGGAATGTGTGCTACATCAATTTCATTAACTACCACTTACATTCCAAATTGATTCATCCAATTCGGCAGTCATGTTGAGCACTGGAAAACACATTTCATTGGGAGATATAGGATTATAAAGATGGATTATGAAAATGAGGAAGCGACCCAAGGGTCCACCAACAGATGAATGGATAAGCAAAATGTGGTCTACACATACAATGCAATATTATTCAGCTTTAAAAAGGAAGAAAATTCTGACACATGCTAAAACATGGGTCAGCCTTGAGGAATTGTGCTAAGTGAAATAAGCCAGTCACAAAAAGACAGATACCGTATGATTCCATTTTTATGAGGTGCCTAAAGTAGTCAAACTCATACAGACAGAAAGTAGAATGGTGGTTGCCAAGGGTTGGGGGAGGCGGGAATGGGGAGTTGTTTAATGGTACAGTTTCAGTTTTGCAAGATGAAAAGAGTTATGAAGATGGATGGTGATGGTAGCTTAATAATATAAAAGTACTGACACCGAACTATATATTTAAACGTGGTTAACAAGGTAAATTTATGTTATGTGTATTTTACCACAATAAAGGAAAACTGAAGAACAAAAGATGGATCATGGTTTCAGTCCTAAGGTGCTTACACCCTCTAGAAGAGGCCAAACAGGAGGGTGGGAATAGCGTTATGGGAATGCAGACTAAAGAGAGGTCAATACTGAGAAGACTCCGGCCCATTTCACGAAGAAACTGCCATGAGAGGTAGGTCATTATGTAATTCCCTCAAATGTTTAAATTCCATGGAGCAGAAGCCTCCCATTCCTGCTTGAAGACCCGAAGGCGCAGGAGAACCTGACCCAGGTTTGGCTCTGGCTTCAGGCTTGGACCCGACAAGCCCTCGCTGGGCCAGCAGATGGCGCCCGCTCCCGCAGTGCACCTCCAGGCGCACGGGGGGCGCTCTGGCCCGGCCTCTCCTCCCCTGCCTCGGTGGCCCCTCCTTCCGCCTCCCAAACCCGCCTCTCCTCGCCAGCGCGCAGCTGCGCTGGCGCCGGCTGCCAGCCGGTAGGAAGCATGGCGGCGTCTTCGAGTGGCGAGAAGGAAAAGGAGCGGCCGGGAGGCGGCTCGGCTGCGGCGGGCGGGAACAGCACGCGAGAGCGGCTGCTATCCGCGCTGGAAGATCTGGAGGTCTTGTCGAGGTAATGCTGTCGGCCCGGGGGCTGGGCCGGGAGGACTGACCTGGGACCGCCGGCCCTGCGTTGGCGCTGGTCCGGTGGGGACGGCCGCGCTCGGGAGACGGTGGCGTTCGGTCCCAAAGACAGTGCCCGAGGGTCTGCGACCTTCCGGGACTCCGAGATGGCGTTTTTCTCCTTCGAGGACGTTTCAGTAATGACAGTGACGCCGGAACTTCAAGACTGTCAGAACCGGAGCGGATCTTAGAGGTTGCCTGGTGTGAGTCTTTTCGTCCACGACACTCGCCAGACATTTAAGGAACACCCCCTGGGGGCCGAGCGCTGGGAGACGGTCGGTAGTGAGGGGGACTGGATGCCGACTTGGAGGAGCCGGTGCAGGGGGGAGAGACAGAGGTGTCAACAGTGGCTGCGGCGCGGAGCCTGTTTTTATCAGAGGCGTGCGCTGCGGGCTCCGGGAGCCCGGGGACCAGGCGCCTGTCCCGGTTGTACTTGGGGCGGGCTTCCTGGAGGAAGGACTGCACGGGAGGAATGAGTTCATCAGACTCCCTAGGCGGCAGGTGGTTGGAACAGCATGTGCAAGGGCCTGGAAACATGAGCACCCACTGCTGGGTGGTGGAATTGCAAGTTTGGGATGGCTGGAGTGAGGCGTGTGTGGCAGGGGTACATGTCATTCTCCTTATTCTGTCATCTTTCATGGCAGTCTGTCAAGTTGGAGCCTTCCCTTAACGCCTTCACATTCAGTTGGATGTTAAAATTGCTTTGCTTCTTTTAAAATGTTGCTCATATTTGACCTCTCGTTCCCATCTGCATTCTCATAACTTTTATTAATGCAGCCTCAACAGTTTTACTAGCACTAATGCTTCTGCACTTTATACTTCCATATTGTCCAAGAGCAGAGCTATCTTTTTTCTTTTTGCTTTTGCTGAGGAAGATTAGCCCTGAGCTAACATTTGTGCCAGTCTTCCTCCACTTTATTTGTGGGTCACTGCCACAGCATGGCTGACAGTGGTGTATGTTCGCCAGGGATCCTAACCTGTGAACCCTGGCCACCCCTCCGAACGTAACCAGTATGCCATGGGGCAACCCCAGAGCCATCTTTTTAAAAGGCATCTTGTGTCACTTTTCTGCTTTAAAATCTTTGGTAGGTTCCCATTACTCAATGAAATTAAGTCCAAACTCTTTAGCTTAGTGTGCGATAAGGCCTTTCTGCATCTCCTCTTAATCCATCCTATTATCCCCATTTGCTGCCACACCCCTCCTCCCTCCCAGACCCTTCCTGCCAGCCTGTGTGAATGCTCCTCATTCTAAAGCCAGCTGTACTTCCTCATCTTCAGTGCCATTTCCACTCCACCTTCAACTTGATGAATCATTCATTCATCCTTCAGTATCCAGCTCAAATGTTACCTGTTCTGTAGCCACATTCTTTGACAGCTTTAGAATAAATGTTACATATTGTATTCCCTGACCTTCTAATAATTTATTACCATTTATTTATCTTTGCTGTGAATTTAGTCCTTGCTATAGCAGGCATTACTTACCAGATTACTACGTTAGCACAATAGTAAATGACATAATAAAAACCTAAAAACGCACGGACAGCAGAAGGTAAGTAGTTTTATGTGTGTAAACCACTGTTTAGATGGTATTAGTCTCAAATACTGCCTGACAATAAATAGGGCCCATGGAATTTTCAGCCAGCCAGCAGCCAACACTCAAAGGCACAAGGTGCCTGTCTTTGTGTGTTGCCGCTGTGTACATGTTTACGCAGGTTAATGCAAGTGGTGCTTTGTTTCCTTCTTTGTCTTTGTTGGCTTTGTAGTTTGTGGTGGAGAACTTGTCTGTATCTTTAATTAATCCTATCCAATGAATACCAGCATGATTTTTTAGTAAAAAGACCCCAGCAAGACAGTGTTCGTGGTATGAATTTTGCAGCTAAATTATTCGTGTCTCTGCTCTGTGTGACATGACTCTTTGGGACGGCTAATTGAAGCTTCATTTAGTTCACGGTGAGTTCTTATTCTTTGTTAGCTGTTAACAAAGCTGTAACATTTTTGGTTTGTCTGTTTTTGCTGAGTAACCCTAGTATATCTTTCATATCACCAAGTTCAGGAGTTGTGTTTCTGAGCCTACTCATCCAGGGTAATGGTCTTTGAGAATTTCTTTTGACATTAGTGCAGCCATCCATCTTGAGATCTTGCCTCTGGATCTTTTGGCTCCTGGATTGTGTGTCTGAGCTGTGTTTTCCTGATGCTGTTGGTACCTGTAGGAGTACATACACTTGCTATCCATGTACTGTTCACTTGAGATAGCATAATTAAGTAATCTCAGCAGTTATGTTAAATTTGAAACTAAATTGAAATTCTCTTGTATCTACATTTGACCAATTTATGCCTCTCCATATTTGATTCTTTCCTTGATTACCAAGTATAGCATTTTCTGTCTGATGAAATGTATTTACCTACTAAAGTAGTGGTGAATCATTTAAATTTTCCTCGAGAACCTCAATGGTTCTGAAACTCTCTCCTTCAGCCTTCCAGTTGTACGCGATCAGTTGAGGTACTGAGTTCTCTTTTACTTCCTCTAAAACAAGCACGGTTCTTCTGTTGCCCTCTCTCCGAGAGTTCCAAAAAGACTGATTTCTCATTAATTTGTAGTCCCCCTCACTAAATCTGTTGACAAATTGGTGATAGGCTGCTTCCTTCTTGAGGTACTCTGCAGCGTGTGGTAACAGCCCTTGTCTTAGAAGTTCATTTTTCTTTTTCTCTGGTTTTCTCATGACTTATCTGCCACATTTTATTTATTTTATTTGTTCATCTCTAAAGACTATATGACAGTAGGTAAGTGAAATTTATCTCTGTTACCATCCTGGGGATAGTTGGTGGTAGTGGAAGAGGTGTCACTTTGTGGTTTGTCACTTAAGACTCATTGGAACTTTTCCACAAAATGAGGCTGCTCCAGTGAGTGGCTTTCACAAAAGTCCCCTTTTGTGCCCAAACATGGCTACATATACTGGTTCTGGGATCTGTGAAGTTTGGTGTTATCCTCTAAATGGAATTTTTCTCTTGTTTGCATTTTGTATGAACAATGAAAAGAAAAACTCCTCACTAATGTAATCTCTTGACTTTAGAAAATAGTGGGTTTGCAATTTGGGATGTATTTTTTACTGTTACCTGAGTGTATGGCCTTTCAGTGTATTTATTACTTTGTAAAATGTGATAGAATGAGGTAGTCTTTGGAGGAATTTTAAAAATAGAAACATACAGATAGATTGTACTCTACAGAACTCATTGTTCTACAGAAGCGATGTTGATAGGGGTCTGGAGGCTTCCACACCAGCCTGTTAATTCTGTTTGCCTATCATTTACCTGAAGTGTAGTACCACTAATAACATAGGATTAACCCCTATGTAAGTTATATTTCTATGGGGGAATGTAGATGGACTCTAATTTGCTGTGCCAGGAATACAGCTGCTGCTTCTGTGGCATGACAGGGCTCTCTCTCCCACACCCGTAACCAGAGAGTGGGCGCTGGGGTTCTGTCAGGGTTTTCACTCTGTCCTAGACTGTTACAGGACAGCACTGAGTCTCACAGACTGCTCCCTCCCTGTTCTCTGGTGCCTAAGGCAAGCCTTTGTAAGGTTTCCTGTGGATTTATAGTCCCAGATTTGCAAGAAAGGCAGAAAAATGCTCATTTCACATCTCCCTCCATACTCCCAGTCCCTCACTACCATCCCTTCCCCGCAGAAACCAGCTTTTATTTAGACCAGAGATTCTCAACTGTCTATAGCTCATCTCTGGGGTACTGAAAAAGGTTGATATAACATGCTATTTTCATAAAATGTCTAATCCATCAGCAAGTCCTGTCAGCGCTACTGCCAAAGTAGATCCTAAATCTTTCCATGTTTCTCCCATTTCCATGGCTCAATCCTAGTGGCTAGGAGCTAGTCAGAGCAGCGTCATCTTTTGCCTGGAACGCTGTGGAAACCACCTGACTTGATCCTCCTTCTAGCCCTCTAACAGTCTGTCCTCCAGATCGCTCAGCAGTTATTTAAGAACATAAACCAGGTCATGTCACTTCCCTGTGTAAAGTGGTCCAGAGGCTTCTCATTGCACTTCGAATGAAATACTAATCCTTTATCGTGACCTGCAAGGCCCTATGCCATCTGGCCTCCCTTCCCTCCCCTTGTCCTCACTTTGTGTCCTGCTCCCCAGTGCCTGCTGCTTTCTGGCCACACTTCCTCAAACCCATCCTTGGGCCCCTGAACTAGCTCTATTTTTTTACTGAGTGTTCTTCCCAGATCCCTTGGCTAGCTTCTCTCATTTAATTCATGTCCTACCTCAAAGATACTCCCTTAGAGAGGCCTTCCCTGACTGCCTCACTGACACTCTCTAATATAACACTCTGCTTTATTTTCTTTCTAACCCTTATCACTCTGGTTTTATTTATGTATTTTCTTGGTTATTCTTGTCTCCTCTATTAGAATTTAAGTGCCATTGTTCATTTTTACAGCCCCAGAATCTAGAAAGTGCCTCACTTATAATAGGCACTCAGAAAATACTTGATGAATGAGGGAATGAAGACTTTCCATTCCCATATCCACTTTTTTCATTAATTAGCTAATTCATACATAATGGTATGGGGAAGTAGTAGTGAGGAAGGTTGGGTCCACTTGGCGCCATCCAGAAAAATAGTATGAAGCTAGCAGGGAGGAAGGTGGAAAAATGAAGGTAGAAATAGCCTGGCAGCCAGGGAGAAGGTGCAAACACTGGGGCTAACTAGTAGTGTCAGGTAGCTAATTGTGGGGCCGTCCCCTCCTGCATAATTTCTGGAAAGTCCCATCTATCAACAAGTTGGAAACTAATATATACCTATTACCTGCTATACATTTTTTCCTGATATTTATGCCAATTTTCTTATAGGAAAATTGGCATATCTAGTAAATGAGCATTCTAGAAAGATAGAATTTTATTATGCCTAAGAATCCCTCTTAATTGACACCTGTTTGGTTAATTTAAAAATTCAATTAAAGTAGAAAATCATTCTTCCATTCCTTAATTGTTTTATTCTACCTTAAGACATACAAACTTAGATTTTCACTAATCTTTTCCTATAAGATGGGTGTCAGGGAACTTTTTCTGTAAAGGGCCAGATGGTAATTATTTTTAGTTTTTGCAGTCCCTAAGTTCCCTGCTGCATCTACTCAGCTCTGCTGTTGTGGGGGGAAAGACAGTATGTAAATGAAGGGACGAAGCTATCTTCCAAGAAAACCTTATTTACAAAAACCGCAGATGTGCTTTATTTGGCCTGCAGACCCCAAATGTAGGAGTTTTTCTTGCGTAAACTACCTATAATGCGTTGTCTACAGTTTGGTTTCTTTAAAGTAAAATGAAAACTTAGATGCTGCTCAAGCAGTGGGGGCAGACTCTTGCTGGGTTTTTATGACTTTCCCTGGGTTTTTCACAGTTGTCTGTTGAGTCTTTCCAATTATTCAGCTTAGGTTTTACAGAAACACCTCTTTCTATTCATGATATTTCATTGGTATTTATGTAATGGATATTAATTTCTATAATTATAGTAGTAAGTAAAACTTCCCTAGTGGGTCTGATAACAAGCACAGCTGAGGCCTAGAGAGAGTGCAGTGCAGCCAGTGAGAGCTGAAGTCCAGGGTCATGGTGGGCTGGGGACCGGAGCTGTGAGTCCTCGGTGTGCTGTGGGTGTCTGAATCCAGCCGGCCAGTCAATGAGAGATCAGTTAAGAAAGCCTCAATTGTATTTATTTTGCAAAGGTTTTTAATTTTTTGTTTTTCTTTTTTAGAGAACTTATAGAAATGCTGGCAATTTCAAGGAACCAAAAGTTGTTACAGGCTGGAGAGGAAAACCAGGTAACTGGTTTCTTTTTTAATTAAAAACGAAAAACCCCCATCATTTCTGTAATTTTCCTCTTAATATATTTACTTTGTGTGAGAACAGGAAGATCGAATCCTATTAAATTATTAATTGCAACTTTTAAATTGATATTTTCTTTCCATCATTTACATAAGATAATAATACAGTATTTTTATTTTAGCAGTATTTTATTATTTTCTCTTATAGTTCTAGTTACACATTTATTTATTTTTGTCTTTTGAATTAACCAACAAAGTCTTGTTAAATGGAGATTAGAACATTATTTGGAATCAGAAAAGTCAGTGCTGTCATAAACTAGCCCTTTATTGTGGGCTTGGTTCCCCTAATTCAACTTAAAAATGAGTGGACATGAAATAAGCCGGATAGTGAAAGACAATCTCTCTATGACTCCACTCATATGTGGAAGTTAAACATGTAGACAAAGAGAACAGATTAGTGGTTACCAGGGGAAAGAGGGGGTAGGGGGTGGGCACAAAGGAGGAAGGGGTTTACCTACAACATGACTGACAAACAGTAATGTACAACTGAAATCTCACAAGGTTGTAAACTATCATAATCTCAATAAAAAGTTAAAAAAAAAAGAAATGAGTGGACATAAAAGAGCGTACAATGTTAATAGAGGTTGTTTTGTGGGTTTGAGTTTACAAGTTGTTTTTCTTTTCTTTATGCCTTTCTGTGCTTTCTGATTTTCTACAGGGGACAGATTTTTCTTTTTCTGAAAAAGTTTTTAAAGAGGTTAAGAGGGTAAATTTTATATTATGTGGGTTTTTTTTTTACCACAATTAAAAACATTTTTTTAGAAGAGAAAGCAGATGGGAAGGATTAACCTTTTTAACGATGTGAGACAGAAGAGGAGACAGTCTTAATAGACCTCTTCTCCCTCCACCCCGTCTGTAGCTAAGTTTATCTAATATGTGTTTTGAGGGCAGAGAAATTTGATGAACTCACAATAGAGAAGTGACAAAGAACTTATTTTCTTCAGGGATTAATCTGCTCAGGAGAGAGGGAATCAGATAAGGCTACAAGTTGAAAAAAATGCTAATTTTGGAGATATTAGGGTTGTTTTTTGTTTATTTTGTTTTTAGAAAAAGAAAGAGCCTACAGAGAAATGTGTTAATAGAAGAATCCCAGCCTCAGATATTTTATTAATAAATACCTGTAGGGGGCCAGCCCCGTGGCTAAGTGGTTGGGTTCATGCACTCCGCTTTGGTGGCCCAGGGTTTCCCCGGTTCAGATCCTGGGCGTGGACATGGCACCGCTCATCAGGCCACGCTGAGGCGGCGTCCCACATAGCACAACAGAGGCACTCACAACGAGAATATACAACTATGTACTGGGGAGCTTTGGGGAGAAGAAGGGAAAAAAAAAAGATTGGCAACAGATGTTAGCTCAGGGCCAATCTAAATAAATAAATATCTACCTAATTAAATAGGAATGTTTAACAAATGAGCAAAACGTGAAATGCAAGGTTTGACTTTATTGCCTAGACACTTACTAACTGCTTGCTATGAGCCAGGCACACAGATTATTCAGTAGGCCATAACTAAGACCTGCGTAATCAGCACTAACCTTTCTTATACTTTTTCAGCACTAGCAATTCTGTCTTTAAAATAACAGTATTTTATCACATAAGGTTGTTGTGAGGATTTATGATATAATGCAGTTAAGTACACACAGGAAGAGCTCGATAAAGGCTAGTTATCGTCGTCGCCACCCCACTAGATTTACACCTTGTACTTAGTGTGTGAATTTCTGTATAATTTTCATGGAAACTTAAATATTAGTGGGATATGCCCATTTGAAAGTTTTCTAGCCACCATTTTGTTTGAATATTCATATTTTCGTGTATGTAGAACTTTGGAGTTAGAAGGGACCTTAATGGTCTTCCATGTAACCTCCTGTGAGATTGAGCTCCAGGGTGGATAAGTGAGCTAGAGGTTACTGGATGAGTGGAACTAGAACCGAGACTGCAGTTGAATACTTTTTCTCTACTCAACAATAAAACCTAAAAAGAATCGTTACTACTCTCTGGTACTATACAGAATAGGTCAAACTGTGTAAACTTCTTAAAAGCTGTCATGGAGGGGCCAGCCCCGTGGCCGAGTGGTTAAGTTCGCACGCTCCACTTCGGCGGCCCAGGGTTTCACCAGTTCAGATCCTGGACACGGACATGGCACCACTCATCAGGCCATTTGAGGCAGCATCCCACATAGCACAACCGGGGGGACTTACAACTAGAATATACAGCTATGTACTGGGGGGCTATGGAGAGAAGAAGAAGAAAGGGAAAAAAAAGATTGGGAACAGATGTTAGCTCACATGCCAATCTTTAAAAAAAAAAGTCATGGCACTAATGTGTACTCTACTCACTTTGGTTAATAACTTTTTAAATATAGCTTTTATAAAAATGGAAAAGTAACCTTCTCCTCCTGTGACTTGAGAAGAATGGGAATTACAGGTCCTTTAAATAGAATATACTTTTACAGAAAAAGCTTTCTGTTATTTAAAACAAATACTCTTAGTACCTGGATGGAAGATGCAGCTGTCTTTTGTCTATTGAATCAGGAGAAGTTGTGTAAAAATCAGAGGAACTCAAGATCAAAGGAACTTGAAGAGGCATGTCTATACTTTTAAACAAATTTTTATTAATAGTTTTAAAATTGATTTTGAATTTTGATGCCATTTTCTTTCTGAAGTAGTATTCCCTACTTAGCACATTCCAGTAAGGGTATTTAGGTAAGATTGCATCTTAATTGTGCAGTGAGGTGGTGACAACAACCAGCCTTTATTGAGCTCTTCCTGTCTGTACTTACTGTGTATTATATCATAAATCCTCACAACAGCCTTATGTGATAAGGTGCTGTTATTATATCCCTAGTAAGTGAAGGACTAGAGATTTGAACCCAGACTTTCTATTTTATGCTTTTTAACCTTCACAGTTTTTGCCACATTAGCATACCACCAATTTATTTACTATTTTTTGAAGTTGCTCCTTTTTAAACCATCTTCATCCTAAAGCAATATTGTGCATGAAATCACAGGTTTAATGTGAGTTATATTTTTTCTAAAACATATTAGCACAAATGTGTAAAAGTTTTTTTAAGCATTTGTATAAATATTTATCATAAAAGATAGTATTTCTTAGATCAGTTCAGTTCTGAGACACGTAATGAAGCATTTACTGTAATTGTATTTATCAAGTTTCCTTACATTATAGTTTTATTTTATTCATTTATTTGCTATCATAGTTGGTTACATACAATTTTGTGGCTTTTGAAAAAACTGCATTTTGTTATAATAAAATGTCGTTGCATGCTGTGTAGTGCTTTAGGGTTTTTTTTTTTGTTTTAATTTTTTTCTGGTGTAATTGAGATATAATTGACACATAACATTGTATTAGTTTAAGATGTACAACATAATGATTTGATATACGTGTATATTGTGAAACGATTACCACAGTAAGTTTAGTTAGCATCCATCAGCTCACAAAGTTACAAATTTCTTTTTCTTGTGTTAAGAACTTTTAAGATAATGGCAAGGAAAGTAGCACCTTTTCATGTACCTGTTGACAATTTGTGTGTCATTGGAAAATGTCTATTCAGTTCCTCTGCACATATTTTAAGGACTTTTTTAAGTTGCTAAGATTTATTCTCTTAGCAACTTTCAAATATGCAATACAGCATGGTTAACTATAGTCACCATGCTGTACATTACATCCTCAGAACTTATTTGTCTTAGAACTAGGAGTTTGTATCTTTCGGTCACTTTCACCCATTTTGCCCACCCCACTCCACCCCCTACTCCTCTCACCCTCCACCTCTGGCAGCCACCAACTTGATCTCTTTTTCTATGAGTTTGGCTTTTTTAGATTTCACATATAAGTGAGATCATGCAGTATTTGTCTTTCTCTGACTGACTTATTTCACTTAGAATAATGCCCTCAGGGTTCATCCATATTGTCACAAATGGCAAGATTTCCTTCTCTTTTATGGCTGAATAATATTCCATTGCATGTATGTATGTATACTTATATATGTACATGTATGTAATATGTATGTCAAACATATTTTCTTTACCCATTCAGCCATTGATAGACACTTAGGTTGCTTCCATGTCTTGGCTATTGGCAGTAACGCTGCAATGAACATGGGGGTCTAGATGTCTTTTTGAGATAGTGATTTTATTTCCTTCAGATAAATACCCAGAAGTGGAATTGCTGGATCATATGGTAGTTCTATTTTTAATTTTTAAAGTAACCTCCATACTGTCTTCCAGAGGTGGTTGCACCAATTTATATTCCCACCAACAGTGCACAAGGGTTACCTTTTCTCCACATCCTCACTGACATTGTTCTCTCTTGTCTTTTTGATAGCCATTCTAACAGGTGTGAGGTGGTATCCAATGGTGGTTTTGATTTGCATTTCCCTGATGATTAGTGGTGTTGAGCATTTTCTCATGTACCTTTGACCATTTATATGTCTTTGGAAAAATGTCTTTCCTCTGCTCATTTTTAAGTTGGATTGTTTTGTAAAAGTTTTTTTAAGTTCTTGGTGCCAACTAAAGTCATCTCAATTACCAAGTTGTGGGGGAACCTCTATTACATTATATTTTTAAAGATAAACTTTAAAATTTTATCTTCCCTGGGAAATGAATGAACCTACACATTTTGGCATATTGCTAGTTCTGAAAGACTTGTTTTGTTTTGTATGAAAGAACAGCCTATAAGTAGAAAAAGTAGAAAATCTTGATAGTATTCTGTTTTCCAAAATAATCATAGGCTATATTTATTCTTAACAGTGATTGGAAATAATACTTTAAATGTGTTAAAATTTTGTAGCTTAGCCAATTGACATGTGGATTCTTTGTTTCATTGGAATGTAGCTTTTCAATATGCTGTTATTATCTGCTTTATTCGACTATTATCTGACAGGTCCTGGAGTTGTTAATTCACAGAGATGGAGAATTTCAAGAACTAATGAAATTGGCACTTAATCAGGGAAAAATCCATCATGAAATGCAAGTTTTAGAAAAAGAAGTAGAGAAAAGAGACAGTGATATTCAGCAACTACAAAAACAGCTAAAGGAAGCAGAACAAATACTGGTAAGTTAACAGGCTGGTTCTTAAGGTAAAAAGAATATTGTTTAATCTGTTTCTGAAAATTAAATCTATTATCAGTACAGATCTTCCTCCACTTATGATGGGGTTACCTCCCAACAAACCTAGCAGAAGTTGGAAAAAAATGACGGGATTACATCCTGGTAAACCCATCATAAGTTGAAAATATTAAGTTGAAAATGTGTTTAATGCACCTAACCTGCCAAACCTCATAGCTTAGCCTCGCCTACCTTAAACATGCTCAGAACACTTACACTAGGCTACACTTGGGCAAAGTCATAACACAAAGCCTATTTTATCATAAAGTATGGAGTATCTCATGTAATTTATTGAATACTGTACTGAAAAGGAAAAACAGAATGGTTGAATGGGTGCAGAACAGTTGTAAGCGTATCAACTGTGTACCCTCATGAGCTTGTGGCTGGCCGGGAGCTGCAGCCCCCTCCACTGCTCAGCATCACGAGAGAGGGTTGTACCACCACCTATTGCTAGCCTCGGGAAAGAGCAAAATTCAGATTTTGAATTTCAGTTTTTACTGAGTGTATATTGCTTTCCCACCATTGTTAAGTCGAAAAATCATAAGTCAAAGCATTGTAAACTGGGGACAGTCTATTTTGAAGTGGCAGAAAACTTTCCAAATCTAAAAGGGACAACTTGTCATTTTGGTTAAATGAAAAGCCATTGTCCTTCCCTTTTTTAGTTACGGTTTTCAAACTGTCTGCTTTACTTTTGAACCATATTTTTATTAATTTAAAGATTTCACAGGATTGAATTAATAGAAATAGGAAGTTTTACCTTTTTCCTGTCCTGATATAAGTTTTCAGTTATTAATAGTCTAAATCTTTACTTCAATTTAAAAAATATTTTTGAATCAATACAAATATGTACCAATTTTATAAATTGATTAAAATTTACATTATTTTGTTCAGCCTTCCATCCTAAACTAAGTGAGATTGTGATATATGGCAAGGACTCTAGTTATTCCTTTCTTGTTCTTGGCTGCTGTTTCAAAGAGGCAATTTATTGGCTATTATTTGCCCAGTTATTTCACTGAACAGTAACTAATGTAATTGTTATATGGTGGCATTGCAGAAACAACGGAGTTTGATTGTCATATGGACCAGACATTGCTGGCATCCTTATCCCTAATGAATCTCTTCAGAAATGTGTCCACATGGGCTCCATTAACTAGAAGCCTGAGTGGTTCAGGGTAACTTAACCACTCCGACTGAAGAAATGACCCCAAGTAAAAGCTTTTCAAAAATATATAATAAAATATATTTTCTATTAGTAAAATAATACTTGCTTATCAAAAGATATTCAGAAAATACAGAAAAGTAGAAAGAAGAGGGAAAAATTGTCCTTAGTCCCACTGCTCAAAGATTGTCGCTATTTATGCTTTGGTGTATTTCCTTTCAGTCTTAGATGTATTCATTTTTTACTTTGTTGTAATTAGCAGGACACTAACTAACTTTGTTACTATTTATTAAAACTTAAGCGTTTTTCCTATAATTATATCATCTTTGTTTAGTTTTCCAGCTTTCTATTATAAATAATGTTTTGATGAATATCCTTGCACAAAAGCTTTTTTTCTTCTGCATTTTGGATTTTATTCTTTAGATTTCCAAAAATGTAATCATTGAGTTAAAAACAGTGACCACAGGACTATAAAAAGACTGAAATTTATGTTTTACATAATAGCAACTAACATTTATTGAGCACTTGTGCACCAGCCCCTGTGTTCTGCACTTTACATGTATTATCCCAATCTTCTTAACAATCGTATGAGGTCAATACCATTATTCCATTTCACAGATGAAGAAGCCAAGATTTTAAATGAAGAACTACCTTGCCCAAGGAGGGTAAAAAGTAGATAGATGGAATTTAAACCTAGATTTCTCTGGCTCCATACTCTTAACCACTGTTTTATAGTTGAGGCTGCGTATACTGGGTTAACTTCATTTTCCCCTTCAGTGTTCCTTTGCAGGGGGATGGGGGCAGTTATAGCAGTCATTACAACAGTCACTGGGCATGGAGTAATGGTCATGTATAAATGAAGAAGACTGTCAACCCAGAATCTATCTTGTAAAGTAGAAAAAGATTTTATCCTTCACTAGATGCAGGAATAGGATGCTTTGGGAGTGGTCCGTGGTCTGGATCTCTTCTGCATGTTTATTATAGAAGACATAAAGAAAAAGTCTTAGTAAAGAATTGAATTTATACTTTGTTTCTAACTAATTTGTGAATGGAGACTGATTCATGAATATAATATTTCTTTCTTTCATTAACTATGACTGATGTAAGTGACACCCAAGGGGTGTTTCAGAACATGATAAATAAATTGTGGGGATTTCCAAATTTTGCATATTGTTCCTATGGGATAAATGGTTTTGTGAATTAAGCCCAAATCTGTGCTTGTTATAGTTAAGAATAAACCCTATTTCTTTTTTTTAATGTTGTTTAAATTAGGCAACAGCTGTTTACCAAGCAAAAGAAAAACTCAAATCGATAGAAAAAGCAAGAAAAGGTTAGTACTGTGGGAATACTGAATGACTGTCTGAAAAATCAAAGTTTTGGTTTCAAGAAACTGGTGAGAGTGTTATTGGTAACCATTTGCTGCTGTTGGGAAGGTTGTAACACATTTTCATTGTGAAGTGCCTGCTGTGTTCTAGCACTGTGCTGGGTATTGTTAGGGAGGTATCACATCCTTCTTCAGGTCATGAGAAGTAATAATATGAAGCAAGTTACAGCGCTTGTACTCGAATGTGCCATTAAGACAGTGAGTTTATAAAATTGTTGGGAGAAGGGAAGAGAACTATAGGCTGGAAGCAAGTGGGATTTGAGTTGGATCTTGAAAAATAGGACAGAATCAAAGAGAAGGTCCATTGAACAGCTGGAAAGGGACTAGAATGTGAGGTCAGAACTAGCTGTGGCTTTGGGACATATGCCCCTTTAGTGGTGCAGAAGCCCGGCACACCTTCTTGGCCCATCCTGCTTCTCTCTTTAAAAGGCTTCCATTTTGGACCTTTTAGTTTGCATACTAAAACTAAACTCAGAATTATAACAAAAACTTTGTTTACTTGCTTTTAACGATTTGTAGATATGGTTTACATTCAGTCATCTCTGACTTGTCTAATTTTCCTCTTCTTTTCCTGTTTCAGATAACTACTGTTAATGTTTGTTTGGTGGGTGTCCTTCCAGATTTTTTTTAGCTCTGTAGTACATATATAACAAGAACAATACAAATACATATATGTATATGTCTTCTAAAATAAAAACCAGGGGCCGGCCTGGTGGCACAGCAGTTAAGTTCGCACATTCCACTTCTCGGTGGCCCGGGTTTCGCCAGTTCAGATCCCAGGTGCAGACATGGCACTGCTTGGCACGCCATGCTGTGGTAGGCATCCCATGTATAAAGTAGAGGAAGATGGGCACAGATGTTAGCTCAGGGCCAGTCTTCCTCAGCAAAAAAAGAGGAGGACTGGCAGTAGTTAGCTCAGGGCTTATCTTCCTCAAAAATAAATAAATAAATAAATAAATAAAAACCAGGTCATGTTATACATATTGTTTAGCAGCTTACTTTTTTTCACCTAATGAATATATTGTGGACATCTTTCTCCTTAGGGCTACTTATAGCCTTGGGGTCACATTGAGTGAACAGTTGAATGGTGTCGTGTGAACCACTGCTCGGATTTAATAGCTTGATGTCATTGGGAGATGAAGCAATCTGTTCTGTTCTATTTGTGTTCACTGTTGCTTTCAGGAAGAGTATTTAATGGTAGTTAATAACTGAGATTATTGAACATTATCACATTAGTGTCCCAAATTTGATACCTTAACTGTGACAGCTGATTTTTCTGAATGTCTTGTTCTTTGGTTTGGAAATATATGTGATTTAAGTTTGACCATATACATATTATTGGGTATATTAGGGAAGGCAGGTAACTCAGATTATCTTAATTTCAGATAATTTTAAGTTAAGTATGATGTATGCCTTTATAAACTTAAATGTTTATTAGACTAAAATGTTACACTCTCCTCTTGACTCTCAGGTGCTATCTCCTCTGAAGAAATTATTAAGTATGCACATAGGATTAGCGCAAGTAATGCTGTGTGTGCCCCACTGACGTGGGTTCCAGGTAAAAATACTTCTCTTTTTACATATATGTGGTTTTGAAAATTCTTAGGTGACTGTACACAAAAATAGAAAAAACGATTTAAATAGAGAATGTATTTATCCTTAGAAACATCTGCTACATATTTCATATCTTTAATGTCCTATAAATAATAATATAGGCCATGGGTTTTATCACTTTGATTTTCTACAAAGCTGCTGCCACTAAAGACTGTGTTTCTTTCCTTTTTAAAAAATAATAATTTTAAAAGTACAAAATAATATGTGATGATTCTAAAGCTGTAGATTTATATGCCTGTAAAACCCAGGCTGGCCAGAAGTCAACTTTTTAGCCCCATTAGGATTTCCCCAAGGGTTCCAGCCTGGGAAACAGACAATCCCAACCATTAGGCGATAAAGATGAAGCACTGACCACCCAGCAGCAAACACACAGGACTGGAAAGATCTGGAGTAATTAAACAGCAGAAAGAGTAACAAGCTGCAGCATATGTTGATAGTGCGTAAAGCATTTGTAAGACAGAGACCTGAGCAAGAGCAGCAATCTGGGAGCAGTGGGAGACAGTTATCTCAACTTCAGTGACTCCTGATGGTGGTCTTTGATCATACTGAAAACACTAAGGGTAACTACAGTTTTGGGAGTAAGTAACCTGGAGTTGGTAAGAAATATTACCAAAAAGTTGGTCCAGACCTGGCCAAGTTTTCATCAACCCAAAACTAAATAGTATGCTTTCATGATTGGAAATGAACATTATTGGCTCCTGAAAACTCCACTGGAGAGTTACAGGAATTGGTCTTTAAATGACAAGATCAAAGAGGTTGGTTAGAAAAAGCTTTTAATTTAGACAATCTTTCCAATAAGCATTCTAGTCTTGTCTGTTTTATAAAAAAGTATGTATGATCTCTTCTCCCTCAGAGTATGTATTCTCCCTCAGAGTATATATCATTGTTATTTTCTTACTAGAAAATACAGGTAAGTTAGAAGAATCAAGATTGTTAGAATTTTCTTAATTTGTCATTTGGAAAGTTTGCTAAGATGGCAGACTTCTCTCATTTGTTTTCTTACGAGAATAGTCTATTATTGTGAAGATTCAGAGAAGAAATAAAAATGCCTGTATTTTTTTTCCTCCCTCAATCCCCCCAGTACATAGTTGTATATTTTTTAGTTGTGGGTCCTTCCAGTTGTGGCATGTGGGACGCCACCTCAACATGGCCTAATGAGTGGTGCCATGTCCACGCCCAGGATCCGAACCCTGGGCCGCCGAAGCGGAGCATGTGAACTTAACCACTCGGCCACGGGGCTGGCCCCAAATGCCTCTATTTTAAAATTTAATATATTATGCTCTGAATAACAGTTGATAAGATGACCTTCATATTCCAAAAGTGAAAATGTAGCTTGAGTTTTTCAAAGTGAAACAAGGAAAATCAATACTTCAGAGAAGGTATTAATGTTCATTTTGTATATGATTGAATTAAAAGCAGTCTTTATATTTTAGGGGACCCAAGGAGACCATACCCAACTGATTTAGAGATGAGAAGTGGATTATTGGGTCAAATGAACAATCCTTCCACTAATGGTGTGAATGGTCATTTACCAGGGGACGCTCTTGCAGCAGGCAGATTGCCAGGTAATGTTCATTAGAAGGATGCTTTCCAGTAGACCAAGCTGTTTTGGACGTGATGATGGAATTTTGAGGGTCTAGACCCAACTAATTTAAGTAAGCCAGGTTCTCTGCTCCCTACTTACTCTAGTTTAAAGACTGTTCTAGACGGAGGTTATGAAATTAGAATAAACTGACTTCTCTCTCTTATTTGTTAACATGCCATTTTCGGGCATTATTAGGCCTCTCTTATTATTAAGCTCTCAACATAACTTTTTTAAAATTGTGAAACATAGTGTGTATAGGCAGAATAAGAAAAACATCACTTTTAAAAAATACGAAGTACACACTCCTGGAAAACCCCCAGATTAACAAAATAAATAAGAAAGCTGTTTATGGGCTTTTTAATAACTAAATAAAACAGCCCTGTGAAGCCCAGTTAATTTTGAGCTCCAGCCCCCTCAAGATTTACATGTAGGTTTTTGCCATTCTTACATTTATTTATGTTCCCCATCTTTTATCTTTTGTAGGTGACTTGTTTTGATTTGGTAGAACATTTAAAAAGTAAAAAAAGGCATAAAAAAGGAAAAACATTACCCTTTTTTGAGCAATCACAATATTTTACCTATTTCATTTTTTCCCCTATTTGTTTTACATTGTTAAAAACATGCTCTAGGTAATCTTTTTTCCTTAACATTTTATTGTAAGGATGTTCCTGTGTTATTAAAAATGCTTTGTAAGCATCATTTTTGTAACTGTCTAAAGTACAAACTGGGAACTCGCTGTGTATTGGTTTCCCTGGATATCTCCTCATTTTTCTCATTGTGATTGTGCCCTGTCATATGCCAGTCATGGTCCAGTCAGGAGGCAGAAACCACACCAGCAATATGAACAAGGAAAACTGAAGGAATTATTAACTAGTAACAAGATACTAACTACTAAAGAGAACTGGTTTTTTTTTAAATACAGTAATAACAGATATGGGGAGCAGCTACTGCATCTGTGACCAAGGCAGAGTACCCAGGGAAGGGATCGCCTGAGAAGAGGCTCCCCCCACCCCCATCCCAAGGCCGATGTTCATAGCATGGTGCCCTTGGTGGAGAGGGAGTAGCTGTGGCCCATTGTGTGGGAGAGATGTTAGATGAGGTGTGACAGGCCAGAGCTGGCAAGCAGGAAATTATCCACTAGGGTCCCGGGGAGATTTGCTGGGAAGGCACCTTTGGGGTAATGGTGCAACTTACTGGGAAACCACCCTCTGGGATGCCCCTGAAACTTGCCAGGGGATGAGCACTGCTTGAAATCCTGCACACCAGCCAGGCACCACAGCAGTCAGAAGGAAAACACTGCCTCCAGGAAGAGAAGCCTGTTCCTGCTGTGGAGTCCCTCCAGTGCCCTCTACTGACAAAGCTTAACAGTATGGCTGCTGGCAAAGATAAGGTTTTCAGGGTCCAAGGAAGGGTGGATTTGAAGCTTAAGAGGCTTCAATCTTGTAATACTGAGTATACCATATATTAGCTGTTTATAATATACAGAGTAATATGACCTAGTTATATTATATGTACACGTAATATATATAGAGAGAGGAAACATCTGATTTGTAACTAAATGTTTTGCAAAAGAAATATTGCATCAACTGACTATATGAATAGTTACTTACAGGAAAGTGTGTTTTTTAAAAAATGAAACACAGGTTCTAGTTACTAAAACATCATGCTTGTCCTTAATAAATTTGATCTTCTTCACTTTGGCCAAATGTGTATTTTGATTTCTAGCCTTAAAACAATATTTACTTCAGATTATTTGCATGAAGGGAAGAGTACTTAAGAAGTAAATGAATTACTAGTAGAACAGTTCTTATATGTGCTTCTTTCCTTTCTCCAGATGTCCTTGCTCCACAGTATCCATGGCAGTCAAATGAGATGTCGATGAACATGTTACCACCCAATCACAGTAATGACTTTCTGTTGGAACCTCCAGGGCACAATAAAGAAAATGAAGATGACGTAGAGGTTATGTCAACAGACTCCTCGAGCAGTAGCAGTGACTCTGATTAAAAAAACATATAAGATAAAAAGCATACAGAATTGAGTACTGTAGAATTCTGTTTCTTAAACGATGGCAAACCTCTGAAAATAGCCAGGTAATATTGGCTATAGTGGAATTGTGCAGCCCATTAAAATCACAGTGGACTTTCTTTTTAAAGCCAAAAATCATGGTTTCAGTTCTAAACCACTAGGTGAATATGTAAAGAAAAATCAAAATTTACTGTTGGAAAAAAAGATTATTCAGTTTGGTGCCATCTCACCCTGTTCTTGTCCAGTTGTGTTGGATTTGTACGTAGTTCTGGAAGTAAGATTGGAGGGAAATGACCATGTACATATCACTAATAGGCCTCCTGGAATTATTTAGAAAAGCATTACAAAAAGGCAGCGGCTCACTGAATGTACGTCATATCTCAAAATAACAAAAACCCTCATTTGAAAGTGAAGGCTGTTAACTTCTGTCATAGAAACAGGAGAAATTGTCTCAATTTGTACTATTTGTAATTATTGTAATTTTTGTAAATAAAGTCACTTTTGTTTGTACTCTCTGTGCCTTTATTTTTTTGTTTAAATATACCTTCAGTGTTGGCAGGAAATTTCTGTAATCCAGTTGCATTTTACATGTACTTAGGTAGAATTCTGGAGTGTGAATGAACGTGGTGTAATGCACACATCTGAATTAGTAATCACAACTGGCAGGTTTCTCAAAGACCCAAACTACCATTCTTCTTAGGAGAAATAAAATGAAGTAGTTTTTTAAAAAAATTGAAAAAACTTACCATAGTAGTGTCTGATCTTAAGGAAAACTGTATGAAAGCTTTTAGAATGGAAAACACTGTCTCTTACCTTCACCATCCCTCTTCCTGCAGTTCTCAGAAGGAATCACTTTTAACCACTTTGAGCTTCTGGTGGTTAACCTCCACATTTACATAATATGCTTATACAGCTACATTTTGATTTATCAGTTTTAGACAATGTTGTACCTTTTACATTTTTTTTTTTCTGATTGCAAAAGTAATACAGCATCTATTGTGGAATGTTAGCAAATATAGTAAAGCACAAAGGAGAAAATAAAATTAGCATTCTACCCAGAGATCATATTAATTAACATTTTGGTGTAGATTCATCTTTTTAAAAAATCCACATATATATGTTAAAAAAAAGGAGAAAATGTGTATTTCCTGAGATGCTGCTGTATTTTTTTGGATGTGATTTAATGTGTCTGATCCCGGTCAGGAGTCATCATCTGAACATCTTTTTTTTTTTGAATTGCTGTAACAGTGGTTTATAACATTTAAATTCCAGGTGTACATTGTTATGTATTTTGATTTCTGTGTAGATTACATCCTGTTGACCACTCAAAGAGTAATTACAATCCGTCACCACACATGTGTGCCTAATCACCCCTTTCACCTTCCTCCCTTACCCTCTGATAATATCCAATCTCTATGTGTTTGTCATTTTTATCTTGTATTTAGGAGTGAGATCATACGGTATTTGACTTTCTTCCTCTGACTTATTTCACTTAGCATAATACCCTCAAGGTCCATCCAGGTTGTCTCAAATGTCCGGATTTCATCATTTCTTATGGCGGAGTAGTAGTCCATTGTGTACATGTACCACATCTTTATCCACTCGTCCCTTGATGGGCACCTAGGTTGCCTCCAAGTCTTGGCTATTGTGAATAGTGCTGTGGTGACCATAGGGGTGCATATATCTTTATGCATTTGTGTTTTCAGGTTCTTTGGATAAACACCCAGCAGTGGAATAGCTGGATCATGTGGTAGATCTAGTTTTAATTTTTTGAGGAACCTCCATACTGTTTTCCACAGTGGCTGCACCAGTTTGCACTCCCACCAGCCGTGTACAAGGGTTCCCTTCTCTCCGCATCCTCTCCAACACTTGTTTCCTGTCCTGTTAATTATAGCCATTCTAATGGGCGTGAGGTGATATCTCATTGTAGTTTTTATCTGCATTTCCCTGATAGTGATGTTGAACAACTCTTCATGTGCCTGTTGCCCATCTGTATATCTTCTTTGGGAAAAAGTCTGTTCAGATTTCTTGCCCATTTTTTAATTGGGTTGTTGGTTTTTTTGTTGTTGAGATGTGTGAGTTCTTTATATATTTTGGATATGAACCCCTTATCAGATACATGGTTTGCAAATATCTTCTCTCAGTTGTTAGGTTGTCTTTTTGTCTTGTTGATGGTTTCCTTTGCTGTGCAGAAGCTTTTTAGTTTGGTGTAGTCTCATTTGTTTATTTTTTCTATTGTCTCCCTTGCTCACTCAGACATGGTACTTGAAAATATGCTAAGACTGATGTCAAAGAGCATACTGCCTATGTTGTCTTCTAGAAGCTTAACGGTTCCAGGTCTTACATTCAAGTCTTTAATCTATTTTGAGTTAATTTTTGTGTATGGTGTAAGATAGTGGTCCAGTTTCATTCTGTTGCATATGGCTGTCCAGTTTTCTCAATAGCATTTCTTGAAGAGACTCTCCTTTCTCTATTGTATGTTCTTGGCTCCCTTCTTGAAAATTAGCTGTCCATATATGTGTGGGTTTATTTCTTGGCTCTTGATTGTGTTCCATTGATCTGTGTGTCTGTTTTTGTGCCAGTACCACGCTGCTTTGGTTACTATAGCTTTGTAGTATATTTTGAAATCAGGGAGTGTGATACCTCCAGCTTTATTCTTTTCTCTCAGGATTACTTTGGCTATTCAGGGTCTTTTGTTGTTCCATATAAATTTTAGGATTCTTTGTTCTATTTCTGTGAAAAATGTTGCAACTTTGATAGGGACTGCACTGAATCTGTAGATTGCTTTAGGACGTATGGACATTTTAACTATGTTAATTCTTGCAATCCAAGAGCACAGAATATCTTTCCATTTCTTTGTGTCTTCAATTTCAACAATATTTTATAGTTTTCAGTGTACAGATCTTTCACCTCTTTGGTTAAGTTTATTCCTACATGATTTATTCTTTTTGTTGCATGCTGTATTTTTAAATTGTTAGTAATCTCCAAATCCTTTCAGTGAACTGACTGCAATTTTTCCAACTTTTTGATTATTTAAATGAAACATGATCCCTGTAGAAAAACATTTGTTTTCCAACTTTTGCAATTTCCCAGGAACAAAATTGTTTTTTAGATTGGTATCTTGAATAATACACGGCATGCAAGGTCTATCCTAGTTTGGAATTCTAAAAGTATAAATATTTTATTTCAGTTCAATTTCTTTACTTTTGTATTAATCAATGTGAATTAACTTTAATGGTATGCTGATATACATAAAGTCATTCCACAGTAGGTATTACACAGTCAATATAAGAAAATATTGGCTGACTAATAAAAAAAAAATAGATACTACAGCCAAGGAAAAGGAAGGGGCTGGAAAGGAGATAGCTGAAGCAAATAAGGCAAAATCTTGGTATTTGTTGAATCTGGGTGTAGGTATATGGAAGTTCATTGTACTATTTTCTACTTCTGGTGTGTTTGAAAATTTTCGAGTTAAAAAAAATTATTTTCTTTTCAACATTAAAGTGTCCCCTTATACCCTGTTTTAAAATGCCAAGGAATGGAAAGTTTGGACTAAAGATGGTTTTCACGTTGCCAAAGCTCCAATCCAAAGATGGCGGCATGGAAAGAATGTGTGGGAACCCATGATAGCAAACATCGGTTCTTCAAGCTGTGAGATTTAGCTGTAAGATTTGTTAGTTTGCTGGGGCCACCATAACAAAATAATACGCTTGTGGCTCAAACAACAGAAATTTATTTTCACATATTTATGGAGGCTAGATGTCCAAGATCAAGGTGTCAGGAGGTTTGGCAGGTCGTCTTGGCTTGCCTTCTCGCTGTGTCCTCACATGGCCTTTTCTCTTTGCTCACAGCCCTGATGTCTCTGTGTCCAAATTTCCTCTTCTCAAAAGGACACCAGTCAGTTTGGATAGGGCTCACCTTAACGGCCTCACTTTAACTTAATCATCCCTTTAAAGGCCTTTTATAGTCACACTCTGAGGTACTGAGGGTTTAGGGCTTCAACGTATGAATTTTGTTGGGGTTAAACTGATTCCAGTTCCAATGTGGATGGTAGTTACCCCAACCAACAAGCAGTTCTTGGATGCCAGAAGGGTGTCCAAGACTTCAACTCAATTCTAACACTATCCACTCTGAGACAGAATCAGATTCCACAGGTAAAGGGCTCAGTCCCACAAGACCGCCTTCCACATCAGCTGCCCATCACAAGACCAGGTTATTACCTGTGCTTCTGACCGAACAGCTATAGATTGGAGGTTCCAAATCCCCTCTCCAACTCACGATGTCAATCGCACGTCCAGGTTGTCACCTGTACCTCTGACTGACTGGCTATAAATCAGAGCTTCCCACAACACTCTCCATGGTTTCAATTAATTTGCTAGAAGGGCTCAAAGAACTCAGGAAACTGTTTAGTCACTAGATTACCAATCTATTATAAAAAGATACAGCTCAGGAACATCCAGATCCTAAGAGATACATAGGGAAAGGTATGGAAAAAGGGTGTGGAGCTTCCATGCCCTCTCCAGACTCACCACTCTCCCCAAATCTCCACTTGTTGACCAACACGTAAGCTGTCTGAACCCCATCCTTTTGGGTTTTCATAGAGGCTTCATTACATAGGCTGATTGTTAAATCACTGGCTATTGGTGATTGATTCAACCTCGAACACTTCTCCCCTCCCCAGAGATTGGGGGTGGGGCTGAAAGTTCCAACCCTCTAAACACAAGGTTGGCTCCATTGGCAACCAGCCCCCATCCTTAGGAGATTTCCCAAAAGCCACCCCATTAACTTAACAAAAGACACGTTTATCACTTTCAACTCTTAGGAAATTCCAAGGGTTTTGGGACCTGTGAGCCAGGAACTGTGGACAAAGAACTAACATATATGAGAAATATATTTTGGTCATCTGAATGACCAAATACATATTTCTTATAAGTCACAATATTGCAGGGGGACACAACTCAGCCTATAACATTAGCCAAAAGTCTGTATAAACTCTATTAACTAAATGTTTAATGAATGTTTATCCTAGTGAGATATTTGTTTTTTATTTTAGATTGAATTTGGTATATACATTTGCATATTAAGGTCCCTTGTATAACTAATACATATAATACACTTAAGACCATTTTACTAAACTTGGTTAATCAATGTTTCAATTAACCAGTATTTTTATTGTATGTTCATTTTAACAGTTTTTTCAGCAATTTTTATGAGACCAAATCTTTGGTCATTATGTATTTCCCTAATCATAATGTTTGTATGGGAAAATTATTTTCTTTGTAGCAACTGAATTTATGGCAATTTAAAGGAATTTCGTTGCCACAAAGTGGGTACTTCTTTTCCTTACGTAAGGTATACCGTCCCCTAAATCTTTTGCTGAAACTTCCCTTTTAAATGTCTTAGCTGCCTTCCCTTTGATAGGTAGAATCAAGGAATATTAGCATTAGAGGTCATATGGAATGTGAAACCAGCAAACAGCCATTGATGATTAAGTAGCTAGGTACTAAAGTTTTTCCTTTTTGCAATTACTGCGTATAGCTTTTAGCTGTTTAACCCGCCCATTGTTAACTGTGCTGTTTAGGCAATATGCCATCTGACTCCCACTAGGCTCCTACAGGATAACATCTCCCTGGAGCCTGGGTCACCATGGTAATGGGTGTGTAAGCTGTTCTTCAGGAATTAGAACTCCTTGTCCACTTCAGGCAGGTTGAGACCACCAACTCATCAACTGGGCCCACACAGATGTCCGATAGGTGACCTTTTGACCTCAAGAGGCTAAAAACTCCACCCTCAGATCATGGTAACACCACCATTTTGTGAACATGCATCCTATGAAGAGGAATGAAGTCTGAATACGCTTGCGCAGATCGTCAATTACCTCACCTCTCCTCACCTCCAATCACCTCTCTCCACATTTCAGACCACCTTGCCCCCTACCCCATAAATATCCCTGAGTCCCTATTTTCAGGGAAGCGGATTTGAGGCTCATGCTCTCACTTCCTCGCATGGCTGCCTTGTGAGTAAACTCTGTCTCTGCTGCAATCTCATCGTCTCAGTGTTTGGCTTTCTGGGAGGCGGGCAAAAATGAACCTGGTTCAGTAACAAATGGGTTTCAATTACACATCATCTCCCATTGACTGGTGCTGGTTGCTGTATTGAGAAAGCTTCCTGGGCTGATCTGGAGTCAGAGAGAAGGAATATTTGCCATTCCCAATGTGGTCTAGACCCCCCATAGCTCTCTCCCCTCCCCTTCTCCCTTCTCTCCTGTCCTTTTCTTTCCTTTCCTTTCTCCTAGGTTTGAGCACCTTCTAGGTGCTGAGGATCCAGCAATGAATAAGACAGGGAGAGCGTGCCTTCCTGGACTTTGAGGCAGAGGGGCAGGGGAGAGACAGATAATAAGCACATAAGCAAATGAATAAGACAAATCCAGATAGTGGTAAGGATAAAGAAATAAAGCATAAGGAACCGAGCTCCAAATTCAAAACTTACTGCAAGACCCTTCCTTCTCCAGAGAAGGTAAAAAACAGCTCCCTAGAGTTGTGGCAGGGACCGGAGGGTATTCAGACAAACAGACACACATAGGAGGGTTAAAGATATTAGGATTAATCCAAGATATTACAACAAAAAAGTTATAGTCAAACACATGGGTCTCTCATGAAGTGTAAGCCAAAGTTTGCATACATTTTCAACAAAAACAAGAAATGTCATGCTTTTGGACTGCTGTTTTTCCCAAAGTGGAAAGTTTGTTCTTTGATCCTGGAGTAACTGAAAGGAAAAGCCTGAGACTCACTTACACTGTACATTTATTAAAATGAGCTCGCCTGACCTGTCTTTGATGCCATTGTGTGCAAGTCTGAGAACAGAAAGGCTATCTGAAAGAAAAAAAGAAAATGGGTCCAATATTATGGTTCACAGACAAAGGGCCTTTATTTTCTCACAACCAAATTATCCATAAAGTCACTGACCCAACATTACTCATTTCTCTGTCATCAAAAACACAGTAGCTGCAGGTTTGGTACAAAAACATCTTTAGGCATCAATATAAGAATGGGCTTTTTCAAAATCCCCTCTGCTCATTTTTTTCCTAACCTGGGTAGGCTTTCTGTACACAAAGACAGTACTGTGCCTCTCTCTACTGTGTAACAATAGGGTTTCATTTTGATGAAATGTAAATAGTAATGTTGATATTTTGTCAAATTTATTACAATAGGATTCCATTCAAAGTGTCTAAAGTCTAAAATAAGGTGCTTCAGTAGCCTACAGTTGCCTCTAGGAAAAGCATCCCCCATATTAAGGATGTTAGACTTGTGCCAAGTACAATGGCCATATCAGTTACACTTCAAACTGTCTTGAAAATGGCATTTCTCAAAGTGTGGCCACAAGCTATGTGTGTATCAGAATCACTGGGGTAGCTGCTGGGAGGCAGATTCAAGAACCTGCTCCTTACCAGCTGAACAGGAACCTATGTGAGGCCCACACATCCAAGTTTGAGCACCAGGGCCCTAAAGCTTTTAAGGACCCTTCTGAGTCACTGCTATTCACCACCCAAGAATTTTAGCACCTCTTCCCTCCACGGCTTTTCACTTATAAACCAACAGAGACAAAGAACATAACAACAAATAAAGCCAAGCAGAAAAACAGATAGGACTAATGAATAGATAGATTCTTTCTTATGGGCAGTGATAGGGCAATACATTGGAAAAACAAATAGAAATTTCACATGTACCTCAAAGGAATCAAATTGCTGTGTACATGTTCACCATGCATTTATATACATAGCTCTACGACCCCTCATCCCAAACCCCTGGGTATAAACGTATTTCAGGATTAGGATATTTTTTAATACTCTAGAAACTTAATAGATTTATATATCATATGTTATATAATACCCCCAGCAAAGTCTGAAGAGTCACCTTGTAAATTAAGCACATTAAATTTCTTAGCAAAGATATATATACTCTGTGACCCGGCCTTTTCACTCCTAGGTTTATATCCAACAGAAATAAGGACACACGTGCAAAGAAAAAGCATGCGCACAAGCTCACAGCAGCTTTATCTGGAATAACTCCACACTGGAAACAACCCAAACGACCATCAACATTAGACTAGACAAATTTTGGTACATTTAACCAATGGACTACTATACACAATGAAAACTCATAAACCACAGCTACACAACATGGATAAATAGCTCAAAAATTATGTTAATTGAAAGATGCCAGTCACAAAAATGCATACTGTATGATTCTTCTACGTAGCTAACTCCAAAATAAACTCATCTATGATGAGATGGTGGTCATAGTGTACCTTTGGGAGGGGGCACTTTTCAAGTGCTGTCAAATGTTCTTTCTTGATCTAGGTGGTGGTTACATAGGTGTGTTCATTTTGTAATAATTTATTGAGATCCTATATAAATACTATATGTCAAATGTAAAACATTTTAAAAAACATGCTATCACTTTAATTTGCTATCATCTCGTTTCCCTAATTTTATCTTTCAAATTGATTCAAATATTAATGGACCCTTACTAATATGCCATGTGCTATGCTAGGCATTAAGGATACTCAAAAAGCCTTTTTTATTTAGCACAGCAGATTGCTTAATAAATACTTATAGGCTTCATTGCTTGCCTGTTTTGCTAGATGCCAAGTAGGACAAGCTCTTAGTGGGTAGAATTAGCTACCAAGCTACTCGTGTTTCTATCACAGTTCTCACCACCAGTTCTTAAACTATGGCTCCTGGCTGCCACACTTCCAGCCCTTTGGGTCAGTCAGCCAGACTCCCACACACTTCACCTGGGATGGCCCATGGAAGCAAAGCCAGGCACAGTAGTAGCTGGGGTGTGGGGATGACCACTCAGGACCTTATGACACTCCTCTATTCTGACCATTTCCTTGCCCCTTGCCCAATGTGGCATCCTTCATTAGTGAGCCTGTTGACCACCTATTCTTTCTCTTCCATTTGAATTCAACTCTTAAGGCAGCGGGCTGCCATAAGTACTTATAAACCCAGCCTATTCAAAAGCCATTAAGAAAATGAAAACTCTCCCAGCCCAGGATTCCTTCTATGTAGCAATGATGATAAGACAGACGCATGCAGCAATGTGCGGTCAAGAGCGCTTGGTCTGTGTTCACTGGTGGCACCCACAGCAGAGGGAGAAACAAAAGGCAGGTATGTGTGTGCCCAGCAGTTCTGAAACTTGGAGCCTTCAGGCATCCCTTTCTGTGGATGGTTCAAGCCCTTCCTCATAATCTTCATCATTTTCCTCTGATCAAGTGCCTCCCAAAGTCCCCCCAGCTGCTCCCCCAGGGCAGGCCTCGCCAGACCATGGCTCCCACTCGCTGGACTTCCAGCTGTGCTCCTGGCTTACCTCTCTTGGTGTTGGAAGAATATCTTATCTAAACAGCCTCTTTCTCTGCATCCCAATGTCTTGTTGATTGAAACTTCTTACTGTGTGAGTTGAGTTTTTCTAATTCTACTGATTTGATACACTTTATTCTCAACAACAAAACATAACTTAAAAGTATTCTTTTGTGAATACTTGTAAAAGTGATGGATGTTAAGTAGACTTACTGTGGCGGTCATTTTGCAATATATACAAATATCAAATCATTATGTTGCACACCTGAAATTAATATAATATTATACGTGAGTTGTACCTCAATAAAAAAATAAGTAAGAGTAATACAACTAAAAAAAGTATTCTCAAATGTGCACAACCACATAATTATATATCTTTTAAAATACAGAACGCATTTTAAGGTACATTTCACATACATGTTATGTAGTGATTTCTCCCTACAATACAATAACTTGCCTTCCTTGTTATTCCTCACCACTAGTAAACTGGCATTTGGAGTTTTCAGCTTCCCTCCTAGTCTTGGACTTTGTGCCCATCTTTAGCCAGGGCAACTCCTCTGTTTCCATTTCAGACTCTAGGAATTAAAATTGAGAAATTTCAAGAACTCTTTTATTAACTCATTTACAAATAACAAAAACCCATAACAAAAAACCTCAGACCACACTTTGAGAACCAGTGCCCTAGTCTAATCTCATTTTACATATAAGGAAGCTGGATCTGATAGAGATTAGGTAAGAAACCCAACATGGCCTCTTAAGGATGAGATACAGATCCGAGACTGTGTGTCTCACTTTTCTTGGTTTAGGTTCTCGATCAGAAATCTGGAAAATATACCCTAATGATCTGTCCTGTTCGCTCTAGTTGCAAGGACTGTCACAATATATTACCGAAAAATTTTTGTTTTAAATAAAACAGAAGAGGAAAACCAACAAACATGATAAATTCTGCAACAGGCAACAGGCGTTAGCATTTCAGTCAGGATCTTTGTTTCAACTGAAACACAAAGGCAGTCTATTGCACCCGACTCCATGCACGCTGCCAATGACAAACTGCAGTCAATATCACAGAGAAATACAGAAAGCGGAATTACCACAGTATCACCATTTATCACATTTTCTCAGTCTGAAGTACAATTCATGACAAAATCCCAGAAAATTTTTCACAAGTACGAGCTGAAAAGGTGGTGGATATATTAAGAGAGTGCAAACACACTGGCAGTCATACGGAACTTTTCAGATAAAGTGGAGTTGTTCCGAAATGTAAATATTTTTCATTCTCTAACCAGACCTTATTTTGTTTTTTTTTTAGGGAAATCAGGGAATTCTCTTGTTCACCAGAGATGATTTCCTTTGTATCCTACCAGATGATTCAAGTCTTCTTTAAATGGATCGTAGCCTTGTTCCTTTAAACAACGCAGTGCCCAGAAAAGTTGGTCCAGGGGAGGAAATTCCTCCCAAGGAACCCACTCCCAACCTAGAACAGAAAGACACCAAGTCCATTTATTTAGCTGAAAGGAAACAAAGGATATTTATTTTGGCAAGTTAACCTATACTTAAAAAAAATGAAATAAATTTAAAAATGATTTGCTGTTAATAAAATAAAGCACAACAGTGATGCTATGCATTAGCTCAGCTACATAAACAGAATTACCGTTTAGAATAATGATCTTAAGAAGAGAACAGTGATGGTTTAACGCATGCTGTTGTTTGAACATGAAGCCAAGTTTACAGCAGCAACCTTGTGGCAAAACCCAGATTTAGTACCATTAAATTTTGATTTAAATATTTGGCTAAACAAAACACACAGAACTTTATATACAGCAGGTTACACTACAGTAAAATAAACCAGTTTCCTCACCTATAAAACTAGGTAGGTTATAAAATTTCTAAGCTAACCTCTATCTCTTAAAAAAGTAATGGAAGCTGTGCAGAGAATAAAAAATATTCTTTGTGCTGTGGCATATTTTAGATAGAATGACAAATATGGAGGAACTGATGTAAACAAAATCCACTGACACAAGAAAGATTTAACAGCCTGTTAGTTGTAAAACACATGAAATCCTAGAAAAATATTCTAGGCAATAGTATTTTTTTGGATGATCTAAATGTAAACAACACGAAAGCTGAGATGCTCATGACAGGTGAACATATAAATACTATATTAAGACTATACTCCATGTTCTAAATGTTTCTTTATGATTACACATAATCAATACCTATGTGTGAGGACTGTTTCTTCCATTATTTCTCTGCCTATAAAATACAGGCATGTAGTTTCATTCTGGGAAGGCGGGGGACAAAGAATCCATGAAATTGGAACAAGTTCAGGAAGGGGTGATCAGCAGCTATTGCCATGTGCTAACAGAGTGAGAGAGTGAGAAAGAGAGAGAGAGACAGAGACAGATTGCCCAACAGTGTGCTGCAAGATGCTGAATTAACTGAATCTCAAGAGCTGTCTGTAAAGTTTATTCCCCGTCTCCTAGAATATGAAGCATCCGGATGATCCCCCTCATTATAATCAGATGGTGGGAGGAAAGATGCAGTAACTAGTAAACTGAAGCAGGCTATCCAGATGCAGGACCTGATGAACATGGGACAGAGACGGCATCTCTATATTATAAGTAAAACAAAGCCCCACCGAGCCGTTGCACCTTGGCCAGGCTGCAGCTGGTTACCAGCAAGGGCTCCAACTGGGAAAAAAGTGAAAATAATTCCTGCTACACTGTTTCTAAGAGATAGAGAGGAACAAGTGTTTCTGATCAAATCTGACTTGGGGCTTTAACCTTGGGCTTTGTAAAATCACACTGCTTGATGTGAGATGACTAGCAATGTCAGAGGGTCAACAGAGCGAAGGTAGGCAAACAAAAAAAGTTACATTAATGAATTAAAAAATCACAAAGCATGTAAAAACTACTCAAAACTACTATATTCCAGGAGGTAAAAGCAATATATACAATAATATAGTAACAAAAACTCTAATAAAGAACTTCATAAAGTAGGGTAATAACCTTTTAGAAGAACTTCAGAAAGCTGAATAAGGACCTTTTAGAAGTTATTGAAAAGCAGGCCAATGTAGGTACCACATTTAAGAAGCTCACAGCAAGAGGTTTGCTAGTATATTCATTCCCTGGAAGCGTCCTTCCTTCAACATCTTCCGAACACTGATTACGAGCCAGGCACAGTGTCAGGCAGGGGCGAGTCAAAGATGAAGGAGCCAAAATTTCTGCTCCTTATGTATTCAAAGTTCAGTAAAGGAAAATAGTAAGTATGGTCTGAAGCTGAATTGCTGAGCTGAATGTGAGGTGCCTTGTGAATATTACGGGATAACTAGAAACACAGGCCTGCAGCTCAGAAGAGCAAGATGAGAAGTTGTGATGTGCACCAGAGTTCACCAGCTCAAATCCCTCCAGAGACCAGGCAGGGCAGGAGCTCTGAAGAAACAAAGAGCCCGCTCGGCGAGCGAGACTGTGACAGCCCATGGTCCAGTCAGTGACTCTGTTGTTTTCTCCTCAGCACCTTCTCTATTCCTTGCTTCTTGTGAAGGGGACTAAGTACAAAAAACTTAACTATTTCATCATATTTGTCTTACCTAGTCTCAGATTTTTTTTGCCCGAAGAAAAGATAAAAATAAGGGTGTGTTCATTCCTTTCAAGTTTAGGGCTCTATTTTAAAATAACAACAATCTGTTCTTATTACCAGAATAAATTACATCTCAAAACTAAATTAAAAAAAATTCAGTTATATGTAATATATTTTGCTTCGGAAAGAAAAAAGTAAATTGAGTCCTACAAAAAGTATTGAAATGGAAATATGCATATCTAAACTTCAATTTAATATTAAAATGCCAAGCAATCAGCTGCTCCTCCCCCCAGCTTCGGAATGTCAAAACTATTGATTTTTCCATTGTTATTGTCCTGGGCTCTCCTCTCTCCTAGTCCTCATTTTTTCTGGATAATTAGGGATGAGAGAGACAGGACAGACTTGTAGAAAATTCCCCCAATGAACCTGGCACAGTTCTTATCTACCTCTTCTGCCTTCCACTTCTTGAGGCCTGAATAATTTTATTTGTACCCTAGGACAACTGAAGGCCTTTGGATAATTTTTGGGTGTTTCTTTCTGTGATATTGTGAACTAAGACGTATATATTTGGTCTTTGTCTTGCTTTCCCAGCAGAGTTCCTAAAACTTTGGTAATTTCCCCAGTGATAGGACTGAGAGAAGCATCTTTTATTATCCAGAATAAGCCCTCTTTAACCACACCTGAGTTTATGCTAATATGACAACAGGTGGCTGGGGGACCCCTAGATAGCTTCAGGATGGGGCAGGGTCACCAGAAACACTAACTTGGAACTTTTAGGGTTGGCACTTTCAGCCCCACCTCCCCACCTTAGGGGAGGGGAGAGGGGCTGGAGATTGACTTAATCGCCAGCGGACAATGATTTAATCAATCACGGGAACCTCCATTACACAGGAAGCTCCATAAAAACCCTACACAACTGGGTTCGGAGAACTTTGGAGTTGAACACAGCGAGGCGCTGGGAGGGTGGCAGACTGGAGAGAGTGAGATAGCTCCATACCCCTTCCCCATACCTTGCCCTGTGCATCTCTTCCACTGGCTGCTCCTGAGTTGTATCCTTTCTAATAAACTGGTAACATAGTATTTTTCTGAGTTCTCTGGGCCATTCTAGCAAATGGATGAACCTGAGGAGGGGATTGTGGGGACCCCCGATAGCCTGGCGGTCAGAAGTACAGGAGGCCAGGACTTGAGACTGGCGTTTGAAGTGGGGGCAGTCTTGTGGGACTGAGATCTTGAAGTGTTGGAATCTGACGCTACCTCCAGAAGGACTGAACTGATTGTAGGGCACTGCTGCTGTCTGGGGAGTTGGAGAACTATTTGGTGTGAGCAGAAAACCCACACATTTGTGTCAGAGTGTTGTGAGTAAAAACAGCTCACATTTTACTAGCTCATTTTAGATGTTTCCAAGTAGTTACTTATTTTATAAAAAACCTCTTATGACTCAACAGGCCTTCAGGTGGAACATGCCCTTCTGTTCATTCAAGCAAATCAATCTGTAAAACACTTTAGATGTGATTTATTCATTCTAGAAATATCACTTCCTCCAGGCCTCTGCATATATGTCCCCTTGTCAGAAACCTGCCCTGACCACAGCACCCATGTACCACTATCCTTACACAGCTTATTTTTATTCTTATTCCTTACCATTGCTATCATAAAATATTTGCTAATTTGTTGCCTTTCTCCCCAATAAAATGTAAAGTCCAGGAGGGCAGGGACTTTGTTCCATACACCACTGATTCTTTAGTGCCTGGAACAGTGTCTGACACACAGTACTCAAGAAGTATTTGTTAAATGAAAAGATTCTTCCATATTGGAGGAGAAATTAAATGTTGAGAGGGAAGGGCCAGCACACGAGATCACTGGGATAAGCCCTCATATAGCAAATAATATACTCAGCAAGTTTGATATTTTTCTCTTTAGTTCCTTTTCTCACGGAGTTTTATGACATTTGAAGAGAGATGATACATGCAAAGCCCTTAAAACAATGCTTAGCATGCAGTAGATGATAGCAGTTGCTGCCATTAAAGCTTTCGGAGCACTCAATTCAACCTGGAAGGTAACAGGTCACTGTTTTGTTAGATTAGTCATTCTCTAAAAAAGGAATTTATTGCCTCTCTTGTACAGGTGAGAAAACTGAGGAAGGCTCATTAAATGTTTTCTTTAAAAACCAAGTGTGAAACAAAATTAAACACTAAAAATAAAACTAATATTTACACTGAGTACTTACTGTGTTCACTAGGTTGTTTATGTGGGTTAACCCATTTTATCCTTGTATCAACCCATCTGAGGTGGTTACTATTACCACAGATGGAAAGAGGCCCAGAGATGGTAAATAACTTGCCCAGGGTTACAGACCTCTAAGTGGAAGCACCAGGACGTAAGCCAGGTGGTCTGGCCCCACAGCCAGTTCTCTTTCTGCTGTGTCCTTTGTCTCCAGGATTTAAGTATATGTACATTTCTATAGGAAGAGAATCTAATCCTCTTCATGTGGTGACATAATGTAATACTGCTTCAGACGATATGCTCCCCTCAGAGAAAATGCATATTATATATAATTCCCTTACTTTCATTTTTCTCAGGCTCTACATTTTTTGGTTCTGAATCCTGAGTCACATCCACCTCTCCTTTCATTAGTATAGTGACATAATGGTAATTCTCTTCCTCAACGAAAGAATTCACAACCGAGGCAAAGCGAACATTTTTCAGATGAAGAGCTGCTTCTTCCCAGGTTTCCCTTTGAGCACATTCCTCCCAGCTTTCACTGGAAAACAGAAACACATCATTATATTCAATTCTATTTAGGTAAACTTTTTTTTTTTTGGGCCACGAACTTCTTGGCTAGAAATTTCTAGTATAACACAAAAAGAACTGTAATTGGCTCATGTTTTAAAACAATAAATCAACAACCCTGTCTTCAACACTCTGTTTATCCTGTACCTAGTTATCTGAAGACCAAAAGGACTTCAGATTGAACAAAAAAAATGAACATTTGGCCAATTCTGCACTAGTTCACAGGCCTGGGAGCACAATGCAACCAGGAGGCAGTTTAGCGTATCAGTTAAGAGCACAGGCTTGGGTGTCAACTCGACCTAGGTTTGAGTTCCAAGTCTATCAAGAAACGGATGATGTCTTTTCCTGTAGTCTCAGAAGTTTAGTTTAAGCCTCAAAATTGAGGACAATAGGCAATAAGTGCCTCTGAATTCTAAAGAGTATAGCAAGAGAGCAAACAGATGCCATCTAAACTCAAGGGTCAGCTAAGGAAAGCCAAAGTGGACTTTTGAGCCTCCCCTCCCCAGTCTTCATAAGAAAGACAGGAGATCTTTGTTAGGGAGGGTAAGTTGTCAGTTTTTAGTCTAGTAGACATGACTCCCTTCCTCCTGATGAGGGGCCAACTCTGCCCCCAAACCAAGTAAGGAGTCCTGCAAGGGAATTAGTCATAGAGATGGGGTGTGACCCCCAAGAAGGAGATACTGATGTGTCACTCTTCTGCTAAAGACACCCTGAGCGGAAACTCACAGGTCTACCCTGATGCATCAGAGCAGAGCTGGTAGGAGGGTGAGAGCTCTTGGTAAGTCTGAAACGCGTCGCTTGGTGTTTAGGGACGCATGTGAATACAGAGACTGATGCTTATTCCCACTTTGGGAATTTGGAAGACAGGAGATTGGCTAGAGCAGCCACGATGGCTGTGCAAGGAAAAAGGGCAGCAGCGAAAGCAATATTCCCATTGTGAATTTCCTTTGGGCCAAGCAGATGCTACAAGAGATTGCTGGGGACCCTACAGAAAAAAAGAAGTAGGATGCTATGCTAAACGCAAGAGCTAGGGGAGGGAGGTCAGCCGTCTTTGTAATGGAACTGTGCAGTGCAGAAAGCCTTGCAGGTCTTCCAAACAACCGACAAACATACCCTGAGAAAGAGAGCACACAGATGAACCCCGCACCCAGAGGGCACCAATGGATGGGTCACAGCAGCACTAGTCATGGAAAAGCACATTGGGGAAGGAAGGAGAGCAGAAACAGTGAGAAGAGGAGGAGGTGGAGAAAGAGCAATTCAATGGCCCACACCTCCTTTCCCCACTACAGGCGAGAGGGAAATGCTTGGAAGTGGATCATAATGACCCAAATGTGATTTATTTTTATAATCACGTGACAGGGAAACAACAGAATTTGCAGGAAATGTCATGGGGCAACAGAGAAGGGAAAGACAAATCCTGTTTGAAGACAATGGAAGGAGCCTATAAAGCCATTTCCTGTTTGTTTCCCGTCAAATGCAGCCTGCTCAGCACACCAGGTACAAAAAATGAAAGCACACCCGTGAAGAGCTTAGCATAATCTCCAGCACGTAGGAAAAAGCTCATTCAAGTTCAATTTTGGCTATTATTCTATATCTGAGTCAAAACTCCAATACCTTCTCGTGTTAATTGTTAAGACAGCTGTCTCTAGCTATTGCTCTAGTAATTGTACTTTCTAAATAGTGCTTAGTTTGTGATAAGTTTGGCTAATGCCCACCAATAACTGAAAAAGTATAATATGGTGAGCCGGTCTGGGCAATTGGATTCTTAATCTAGAAATTTTATTGTTTATTAACTGATGGCTTATCTTAATTATCTAAAAATGATAAATTTATTGATGCCTTTTAAAATTCTGAAGACCATTAAAAAAATTCCATGTGCTAAAAGATCATAAGAATTCTATATTTTATAAAGTCTGATTAAAAGGCACTAGGATCAAGCCTCTACTTCTAACTAGCACTTAATAAGAAATGAGTGGATTAGAAGAATATAGTCAAAACATAAGATATCCTTCAAATGACCCCTATTCTTCAACACAGCACAGGAAAAAAGAGGAGGGGGTTACTGTTAGATTGAGACTAGAAAAAATTTATCAACCACAGGCAATATGTGCCCTTCCTTTGATCTCGATTGGTTCATAAACAGTAAAAAGACATTTTCAAGACAATTGGGAAAACAGTACAAACTGAGTGTCAGATGTTGTTAAAGAATTATTTTGGGGGCTGGCCCCATGGCATAGCAGTTAGGTTCGGTGCCTAGGGTTGGCAAGTTTGGATTCCAGGTGAGGACCTACACCACTCATCAGCCATGCTGTGGCAGTGACCCACATACAAAATAGAGGAAGACTGGCACATATGTTAGCTCAGGGCCAATCTTCCTAAAGCAAAAAAAGAGTAAGATTGAAAAAAAGCCCCCAAACCAGTATTGATTATGTCAAGATAAAATCCATAGTGATTAGTTCACAAGCAACCTAATGACTACCAATTTAATAGGAAGTTTGTTGGCAAAGTTGTTGCTGTTCCCTATGTTAAACTATGGAAGAAACAGAGCATCATGCACCTAGAAACAGTCACAAGAAACAAATAATCATGGGGGAACCCCTCTAAAATCAATGAATTATTTGGAAATTATCCAAATGATCTGAAGAATAATTTGTGTAATTATATCATCCAGGAAGCAGTTCTATAATATATATTTTTATTCAGTTAGAAGACCCTATGATACATAATAAATTATTTAACATTAAAAAAATAGTATGATTGGCAATAGACGTTAGCTCAGGACAAATCGTCCTCAGCAAAAAAAAAAAAAAAAAAAAAAAATTTTGTTACCGTGTGAAAATAGTATTGTGGATGTTTTCTAATGCCTACTAAAGATACATACTTAACTATTTAGGGGTGGTATAATAGGATATCTGAATTTTCCTTTCAAATAGTCTAGAAAACAAGAGCTGTGTGTATATACGTCTGTTGTGGGGAGAGGAGCAGTAAAGAACGGAGAACAAGCTAAGTGACGGGTACATGAGGATTCAATGGCCATTTTCTCTACTTTTACGTATGTTTGAAACTTTTTATACTTAAGCAAACACATGTGCAGTGTCTGAACGCTCTAGATGCCCTTTATCCGCTGTTGACTTTAACCTTCTCACTTCAGAATGCACAGCCCCAGGCTTTCTTCATCCCTTGTGTACAAGTGGCTCCACCCTGCAACCTTCTCTGCCGGTCTGATACATCACCAAATCACAGACGCCAAAGCAGAGAGGGACCTTACACACTACTTCGTCCAACCTCCTCGTTTTAAATATGGGGAAACTGAGGCCTAAAGAGTTTCACGTGCAACCACACCTACGCAGGCTGGAAACAGCAAACCTATGTGTACGTTTAAACCACAGGCAAACCGTGCAAACGTCTTAACTGACAAAACTGGACTGCTGGAGGATTATAAACACCCGCTTAACATCTCTTATGCATAAATACCAAGTAAAAAACATCTCAGAAACCAACGCCCAGCCGCGGCCAAGCAGGAGCAGAGCTGACGGGCCCGAGCTAAAGCAGCCCCAGACAACGGGGAACTTCCACCTTCCACCCTCACCTAGCTCAGCGCCCCTCCCCGCGCAGGCGCCCAAGCGGAGAACATAGGCGCGCGCAAGAAACGACGCAGCGTCGCCGCGCACGCACGCACGGACGCACGCATGCACGGCGCAGCTCCGTCCGTGCGTGCGCTGCTGTCCCGGGCGGCTGCTCACCCGAACTCCAAATGACCCCCAGGAAGCTGGAAAGTGCCGGCTCCAAACGACCCTTTCCTCTTGCCCAGGAGGACACAACGAGGATGGCTGCTGCTAGTCACCACCACTCCCACCCCGACGCCAGGCCGCCGCCCCCGCGCTGCCGCGCTGGCCGTCATCGCGCGCCAGGACCCGGCGGCCGCAGCCGGAAGTGGCGTTCGCCCCGCCCCGGGCCCCCGCCAATCTCCGGCTGCGCCGGCGCGGGCGCCCGAAATCAAAGGGGGAGCCGCTTGGTCTCGAATGAAGCTCCGCGCGTGCTGCCTCTGCCTCCCCGGGGGGTTCAGCTTGGGAAGCGTCATGTTTCCTCCCGAAGGAGGACGAGTCATGGGGTTTCTTTTAACTAATGACACTTACTGTAGCGCTTCTAGCAGTCGTTATCATCTACTCTCAGATTCCTCCCAGCCGTGCATTTACCAGCCACTTGCTTTTATAAGCTTTTATAAGCCTCTCTGCCTTTGCACATCCTATTCTTTTTTCTTTGAATGAGCTTCTCCACCACTGTAAACTCATTCTCACTGTAGCTCAAATCGGTGTGGTACCAGGGCCAGGACAGATAGTGTAGAAATATTCTAGAATAAATAACAAGTGTTCACAAGTCATGGGGAAAGAATAAGGACTGATCAATGAATTCTGGTGGGAGTTAGTTACCGATTCCGAGGAAAAACACACTGTTCCAGTTGTTTTGCATACCACGCGCCAACAGAAAATCCCACCTGAATCAGAGTTGGAATTAAACTAAAAACGAACGAATTTGAAAAGTCAGGTGGTACAAAAACTGCAACAGGAACAGCCGTGCCCTCTAGTCCTGCTTCCAATCACTTTTAATTGTTTGAACTCTTCTGTCTACTTGTCTACATATTTGGAAGTAATATGCTTGTTGTGTATGTTATAGTAAATGAAGATTGATTAAGCTTTGTTATAGCATCTCTTCCACCCACAAACAAATCCTTCAGTGCATTGTGCACCACAAAGATATTCTGTAATATTTTCCCAAGTAAAAATTGGCAACATGTAAAAAGGATACTGTATCATGATTGAATGTGTTAGTCCCAGAAATACAGGATTGGCTTAAAATTTGAAACAATCAGTGTAATTCATCATATTAACAGATGGAAAAGGAAGCAGATAATCATCTTAATAGATGCAGATAAAATTCGGCAAAATTTAGCACTCATCCATTAAAAAAAAGTTTAAGCACAGCAGAAATAAAAGAATTTTAACAGCCTGACATGGGGCATCTACAGAGACCTACAGCTGACATCATGTTTAATTGTTATGGGCTGAATCGTGTCCCCTCACCCTCCTCAGAAAATTCATATGTCCAAGTCCTAACCCTGAACACCTCAGAATGTGACTGTATTTGAGGATACAGTCTACAAAGAAGTAATTAAGTTAAAATGAGGTCATTAGAGTGATATCCTGAAAGACGGGGCATTAGGACACAGACACAGAGGGAAGACCATGTGCAGACACTGGGAAAAGGCAGCCATCTGCAAGCCAAGAAGGGAGGCCTCAGAAAAAACCAGTCACTGAAATCTTGATCCTAGACTTCTAGACACCAGCATTGTGAGGAAATAAATTTCTGTTGTTTAAGCTGCCTAGTCTGTGGCACTTTGTTATGGCAGCCCGAGCAAACTAATACAGTGGTGAAAGACTAAAATTTGAGAGAAGCAAGGATACCCACTCTCAGCACCTTTAGTCATCGTATTGCTGGAGCTTCTATCTAATGCAACCAATAAAATCAAGAAAAATCAATAAATGTTAAATTGGAAAGGAAGAAGTAACAGTCTTTATGCACAGACAATCCTAACGAATCCACAAAAAAACTATTAGAACAGATAAGTGAGTTTAGCAAGTTCATAGGATTCAAGGTCAATATAAAAAATCAGTTATATACTAGTAATGAACAATCAGAAATTGAATTTTAGGGTATATAAAATACTTAAGGATAAAATTAGCAAAAGATGGGGGCTGGCCCCGTGGCCGAGTGGTTAAGTTCACGCGCTCCGCTGCAGGCGGCCCAGTGTTTCGCTAGTTTGAATCCTGGGCGCGGACATGGCACTGCTCATCAGACCACGCCGAGGCAGCGTCCCACATGCCACAACTAGAAGAACCCACAACGAAGAATACACAACTATGTACTGGGGAGCTTTGGGGAGAAAAAGGAAAAAATAAAATCTTTAAAAAAAAAATTAGCAAAAGATGTGTAAGATCTGTACACTGAAAACTATTAAATGTTACTGAGGGAAGTTAAAGAAGATTTAAATAAAGGGAGAGAAATACCATGATCATGGATCAGAAGATTTCATATTGTTAAGATGTCAATTCTCTTCAAATTGATTTATATAAATTTAATGAAATCCCCATCAAAATGCCAGAAGCCTTTTTTAAAAGTAGAAATTGACAGGCTAATTCTAAAATTTATCTGGAAATGCAAAGGACTAGAATAATCAAAACAATTTAAAAGAAAATTTGGAGGATTCATACCACTTGATTTCAGGGTTTAGGATAAAGCCACTGTAATCAAAAGAGTGTGATATTGTTAAAAGCGTATACACATAGATCACTGAAACAGGCTAGAGCAGCCAGAAATAGACCTACACATTTGTGATTAATTTTTGAAAATTTACAAAGGTAATTCAATGGAGAAGAGAGAGTTTTTTTTTTAAATTTTTTAAAAGATTTTTATTTTTTCCTTTTTCTCCCCAAAGCCCCCTGGTACACAGTTGTATATTCTTCGTTGTGGGTCCTTCTAGTTGTGGCATGTGGGACGCCGCCCCAGCGTGGTTTGATGAGCAGTGCCATGTCTGCGCCCAGGACCCGAACCAATGAAACACTGGGCCGCCTGCAGCGCAGCGCGTGAACTTAACCACTCAGCCACGGGGCCAGCCCCAAGAGAGAGTTTTTTTAACAAATGGTGCTGGAACAATTTGACATACATATATATAATATATATATATGAAAAAGAGGCTTGATCTCTACCTAGCACCATATATAACAACTCAAAATGGATTGTAGACCCAAATAAAAACACCTAAAATTATAAATTGTCTAGAAGAAAACAGAGAAAATCTTTGTGATCTTGAGTTAGGAATAGATTCTTAGATATGACACCAAAGGTATGGTCCATAAAGGAAAAACTGATAATTTGGACTTCACCAAAATTAAGAACTTACTCTCTTTGACAGATAGTGCTATGGAGTGAACGGTATCCCCTCCAAAACGCACATGTCTAAGCCCTAACCCCCAGTGTGTTTGAAGGTGGGCCTTTAAGAGGTAATTAGATTTAGGGAGGTCATGATGTGGGATCCTCATGGTGGGATTAGTGCCTTTATTAGAAGAAACCAGAGAGTGGGATCTGCCTCTCTCCCCAACATGCGAGGACGTCGTGAGAAGGCGGCCCTCTGCATGCCAGGAGGAGGCTCTCACCAGGAGCCGAATCTGCCGGCGCCCTGATTTGGACTTGCAGCCTCCAGACCTGTGAGCAATAAATGTCTGTTGCTGAAGCCACCCAGTCTATGGTATTTTGTACAGCAGCCAGAACTGGCTAAGACAGAAACTATTTAAGAAAATGAAAAGACAAAGTACAGACTTGGGAGAAAATATTTGCAAAACACATTTCTGATAAAGGACTTGGATCTAGAATATGCAAAGAATCCTCAAAATCCAGTAATAAAGCAAACAACTCAATAAATAAATGGGCAAAAGAATTGAAGAGACATTTCACCAAAAAGATATGGATGGCAAATAAGCACATGAAAGACACTCAACAGGATGAGTCATTAGGAAAATGAAAATTTAAACCACACATGGGTGCATCTATACATCTATTAGAATGAATAAGATCTTAAAAACCTCACAAAAATTGGCATTGCAAGTAGTGCTGGTGACCATTTAGACCAGTTAGAACTCTCATACATTGTTGGTAGGAATGCAAAATGGTACAACCACTCTGGAAGATAATTTATTGTTGCGTATAATGTTAAGCGTTCGCTTATGCAACTCAGCAATCCTATTCTTAGATATTTACCCAAGATAGATGAAAACTTACGTTCATTTAAAGAGCTGTATGCACATGTTATAGTGGCTTTGTTCATAATCGTCAAAAACTGGGAAAAAATGCTTCAACTGGTGGGTGGATAAATCAACTGTAGTACATTCATACAGTAGAAAACTACTCAGCAATAATAACAAGACAAACTTCTGATGCGCTCAACAACATGGGTGACTCTCAACTGCATTACGCCAAGTGACAGAAATCAGATATTAAAGGCTATGTGCTCTATGATTCCATTTATATGGCATTCTGGAACAGGCAAAACTGTGGACTCAGAAAACCGCTCAGTCTTTGCCTGGGGCTGAGTGTGTGAGGAGGGTGACTCCAAAAGGACGGGGGGATGGGGTGAGGAAACTACTCTGCCTCTTGATTGTGGTGGTGGCAACATGACTATGTGTTTGTCAAAACTCATCGAACTGTACATTAAAATGAGTGAATTTTACTCTATGTCTATAAAACCTCCGTAAGTATGACTAAAAATAAAAAGCCAAAAAAGAAAAATGCCATGTGGATTTGCAGAAAGGAAGTCAAGATGCAGTTCAGCAGTGGAGAGGTTCAAGACAGTGCAGAGCTAAATTGCCCTGCTTAACAATACCAGAAGTTGTCACCCTTGTGGGTGGAGTTGTTTCTCTGTAGATTATGATGTTTCCTGGGAAGCTAACCTGAGGCTGGAGCTAGGGGGAGGCCGGTTCCTCTTCTCACCGGGCCTGGGAGGATTCAGGGAGCCTGAGCTCTGGGAGATGATGTTCTTGGTCTCAGGTATTCCTGTTAAGGAGAGTAAGCTCCTCCTAAGATGTAGTGGGAAGTCAGGGGCTAAAAAGAGTGGGTAGGTAAGAGTACTGTCTCCTGTGACATTCAGGAGACAGTCACATTTAGTAGCCAGTTTAAAGTTTTCCTTTATTGAATTATAATTCCATTTTACTATCCTGAAGCCTTTAATAAAGTCTGATTATATGTTACAGCCTGGTCTTAACTTGCTTTGAAGAATTGGAATGGGCTTGTGTCTACCCTTGCATAAAGGCAGGAAAAGAGAAAAACATTGGCCTGGAGAAGCATTGAGGTCCAGGAGGATGTCTTTGATCTCAGTGTCCACTATACTCAGAACAGT